TGCCAGCTCTGGGATCAACTGGATCCTTAGTTTCTTTCCTGGGCGGCATGGGAGTGACAAACCTTAGAGAAGGGAGTGGAATTGGAGGATATGTTTTAGGACATCGAGTTAGAAAGCTAGTGGGCCCTACTTTGATTTCAGAAGTCAGCCCCTTTCTCCAAGCTGCCCTTTCCTCGGGAATTAATTATTTCTCATTCCCAGCTTTCAACCTCCTTCCAGAGGCCTTTGTAAAAGAACCCGCTTTCCAGATGACAAGGGTAGGACCTGGGGAGGAACAGCACCCACTGGCCCTTGTGAGAACAGCGTTCCGCCCTGCCATTCCTGCTGAGTTTTCATTATGCATCACATTTGCTGGTCTTTGAGGGATGTTGGACCTGGAGTTCAGAGAGTTCTCAGATGGACCAGCACTAGGATGTGTCTGAGTGCAGCGTCTGAGCAGGGCTGAGCCTGTGCAGGATGATGCTGGGCCTGTGTTAGTAGGGACAGTCACTCACCTACCTCTCCCCTGTGCGACAGAAGAAACACCACCAGGAGTGGCAGTGGCCATATCTCCCCAGGAAGGCTCCCCAGGTCATTGTACTGGAGCTTCATCCTTGTCATCTAACTCCTAATGTCTCCTCAGTGTTGTGGCCGTTATTACATAAGTTTCCCTCTGAATGCCTCACACTGTCATCTGATCAAGTCCTCAGGCCTGAGTGGAGCAAGAGCTTATCAGTCACCACACAAGCACTTGTAGCTCTTGTCTCAGTGCTGATAATAGCCACAGAAAGCAGGAACTGCCGGCTACACGTGGGGTGGTTGGAGATGTTGATCAGCCAGTAGCAGGTCCCTGAGCCCCAGCAACCTGAGTCTTCTGATGATAGGTCCAACACTATCTTCATTTCCTTGGCTCTCTTTAGACCTCATTATTGAGGATGATTATTTGTGGAGGCCCCGTTCTATGTGAGGCTTGGGGGTATTGATATGAAATACCTTGCTTCTAGTGGAGTAGACAAAACCATCAGGGATCAGACAAGGGAGTTGAGGATGATGATTGGATGGATGGACAGAAGGTGTGGCCATGGCTGAAGAGGGCTTGTGCCATTCCTAAAGAACTGCGTGATTTAAAACAATAACAACCACAGTGATTTTGCCCATGGATCTGCGTTTTGCTCTGGGGTTAGTGTGGATAGCTCCCCTCTGCTCCCCTTGGTGTCAGCAGAGGCTTGATGCCCGGAGGCCAGAATCACCTGAAGGCTTGCTCACATGTGCCCAGTGGTTGGTGCTGGCTGTCCGCTCGGCACGTCCCTTCCTCTCCGTGAGGGCCCCTCAAGTAGTCTCTGCACATGGGATTGTCGGGTCTTCCTCACATCATGATGCTTGGCTTCCCAGAGTGAGCATCTCCCAAAGAGTGAGCCAGGCAGAAGCTGTGTTCTTTTTATTACCTAGACTTTGAATTCATAATGCATCACTTCTACCCTATTTCCTGGTTCGTGGCATCTAAAACCCCCCTCAGCCCCAATTGAGAAAAAAGGTCACAAACCTGCCTGTGAGTGGGAGGAGTTTTGCAGTCCTGTAAGAAGAGCCTGTGGGATGGGAGGTACACAGAGGCCATCCCAGCAAAGCACAATCTGTCATGCTGCTCTAGGTGCCTGTAGAGTTGGTCAGAGGCTCTGATGTGTCTAAGCCCAGGTCATAGCCTTTGATGGGCTGGAGTCTGCTTTTCTCAAATCCTGGGGTCCTGAGAATGGAAGAGTGGTTGGTTCTCCCCTAAATTAATTATCATCAATGAATTACTGATACTACGTGAATGTGGGGAACAAAATGCCAGGGGAGCCCAAGCAGTAATTCTCACACCACTGCCCAGAGAGCATTTCTGATATCCCAGTACCATTCCCCATAAGAGTTATCTTGATTATCTCCCCGTAATGGAAAAGAATAGGGAGTCATGGAATTGAAAATAATGTTGGTTTTAGACATGTTGATCCCAATTCTCTTAAAAAGCAATAGAACTTTAGTTAAAGAAACAAAGCACAATGTCAGTGGTGACTCTGGAATGGGAACCACAGTGAACCAGAGTGTGGTGTCCAAGCCTTGCCTGTGTGGGGTGGGGCAGATGCTCACACCAGGCCTGCCTCTGTGTAGACTGCCTCCTCACCCCACATTAGCTCAGACACCCAGCACTGGGCTGCATGGCTTGGGGTGTCAGAATACATGTGAGGTGAGGATGGCAGCCCAGTGCAGGGAGTGGATGCCCAAGTTGGGTGAACAGGATGTTCACACAAGGGGTTGTCCTACTAGGTGGTATCGGAGCTCAAGTGGGGAGACAGGGACCTCTTCAGGGGGGCAGGCTGGTGCCGTTTGTCAGAGCAGGCTGTTTAGGGTGAGTTGGGCTTTGGCCCGAAGGGGCTACAGATGTGGAATGCCAGAGCCTACGTGGAGGAAGGAGGGGACCCACATAGGAGAAGATAGGGATCTGGGAGATTTGTTATATGAATCTCTTTTCGGATTAATCTAATATTAAACAAAGTAAGGTTAATGATTAGATGTCTAAAGATTAGTTTATATTGATGATATGAATCTTAATTTCTTGGGTTTGGTGGCTGGAATGTGGTTATGTACGAGTGTCCTTGTTTGTAGGAATTACACATCAAGGTATTTGGGAAGTGACAGAGCACCATGTCAGTAACTTTACTCTCTAATGGCTCAAGAAAACAGAAGTTCTTTGTATTGTACTTGCAACTTCTCTATAAGCTTGAGATTGTTTTAAAATTAGGAGGAAATCCATAGCTTTCACATATACAAACAACCATCAGTTTGAAGATATAAGTATAAAGAAAATCTGTCATAGTAGCAACAAAAAACCCAAGAGGCCAGGAAAAGCTTAACCAGAATTGTGAAAAATCTATTTGAGGAAAACTTTTAAATAGTCCTAAAAACACAAAAATAGACTTGAGAAATAGAAATATAGTCTTAGTTCTCAAATAGGATGGATCTACACCAAAAACGTATAATTTCTCCCCAAAGTAATATATACATTTAATGTGATTCCTATAAAAATATCAATTTTTCACAAGTTCTAGACAATTTCTAAACTTATCTGGAAAATAAGCAAGCAAGATTAGCTAGGAAAATCGTGACAAAAAGAAAAAAGACTAGTAATGGAGAGCATGAACCCCGTCAGATATTAAAAACATCTTATAAAACTTCTTTACTGAAAACAGTGTGTCCCTGACTCGTGAACAGACAGAGAGAGGAATCAAACAGAATAAGAAATTAGAAACATTCCCCAGTACATATGGAAATGTGGTTTTTCATAAGGTGGGATTTCAGATCATTGAGGAAATGATGGACTTTTTAATAAATGATACTGGAACAACTAGACAGTGATTTATTAAGAGGTTAAGTTGGAGTCACATTTCACGTAAACCATCAGAATAAACTCCAAATAGATAAGATATTCAAATATACAAAGTAATACCGTTCATGCACTAGAAATAAACATGGGTAAATTCCTTTATAACTTAGAAAAGGGAAGGCCTTTCTAGAAATGACTCTTAATCCAGAAACATTAAAAGAAAAGATTGATAAACTTTAGTATACAAATGAAAAACTTGTTTACGTTTGTATGTCAAAAGCACTGCAAGCAAATTCAAAACACAGACTGCAAACTTGGAAAAATAAAAACTATTGCAACACATATCACAATTAAAGAGCTAATCCATCTAATATATAAAGAACTCTGAAAATTCAGAAGAAGACGACCAAGACCTGATAGAAGAATGGGCAAAAGACAAGACAGTTCACAGTAAAATAAAATTAAAACATAATGAAGTCTTAGCTCACTCATATTAAGAGAAATGGAAATAAACTATGGAAATAATAATTCTACTAAGACACTCTATTTCATCTCATAAGTGGCCGAAGTTCTAAAGTTAAAGAGCGCCCTCAATGGGCAAGGCTGTTTTCTTTGGATTGGTGTGGCAAGATATGTCTTTATTTTTTCTTCCATCATTTTGCTCTCATCCTATCCATGTCTTTATATTGGAGTGTCTCCTGTACACAGCACAAAATTGGTCTTGCATTTTTTATCCACACTGACAATCTCTGCCCTTTAGTTGGAGTGTTTAATCTGCTTAGATTTAATGGAACTACTGATAGGGTTAGGTTGAAGAATATCATACTGCTATTTGATTTCTATTTGTGTGATTAATGTTTTGCTCTTTTGTTCTTCTTTTCCTGCCTTCTTTTGTTGTATCTGATTTTTCCTTCTTTATCGGCTTTTGGTTAGATCTCTATATAGTATTTTACTGAGCAATGTAGGATTGCAATATGCCTCCTTCACATATCACAGTCTACTTTGAATTAATGTTATACCACTTCATATAAGAACATTGTAATAAAATATTTCCATTTATCCTCCCTCCCACCCTTAGAGTTATTTTTGTCATACATTTTGCTACTATATTGCATAAATCCTAAAGCATTTTTGCATTAATAGTCATTAACCTTTGAAAGAAATTTATATAAAGTCTTTTATATTAGGTCACATTTACACTTTTTTTATTCTTTTTCCTTCCTTCCTACGATGGGGATCGTTTCCCTTCAGCCTGAGGAACCGCTTTTAGTCTGTCTTGCAGTGCAGGTCCGATGGCAACATATTCTCATACCTTTGTTTTCCTAAAATGTCTTTTCTTTGCCTTCATTTTTCAACAATATGTTCACTGAACATAGAGTTCCAGAAAGAGGTTGCCTATTTCTTTTTTCTTTCCAAACATTTAAAAATGTCCTCTCACTGTCTTCTGACTTCCATCATTTCTGATGAGAGCTTGTTGTTACTCTTATTGTTTCTATAAAGTAAAGGGCATTGCTTTCCTCTCTGTCTAATTTCACCTTTTTGTCTTCATCTTTGTTTTCTTTTTTTTCTGAAGAAGATTTGGCCTGACTTGACATCTGTGTCCATCCTCTTCCATTTTTTTCGTTTGTGGGATGCCTGGCACAGCATGGCTTCATGAGCGGTGTGTAGGTCCACACCTGGGATCCAAACCAGCAAACTCAGGGTCACCGAAGCGGAGTGCACAAACTGAACCACTGCACTGCTGGGGGGGCCCCTATCTTTGGTTTCTACCAGTTTGACTATTATATGCTTACACATGGATTCCTTTGCCCTCCCCAAGGTTCTCTGAGTTTCCTGAATCTGTGGATGAGGAATGTAGTCTAGCAATAGGCCTATGACGAAAAGGAACAAGGGGCTGCACTGCTTTTATGGTGAAATGCGTTTGTTGGAAAAAAGCAGTGCTGTGTGGGATAACAAGACAGGAAATCAAGCCTGTGAGTTCTGTAAGTCCACAAAGGGGGAACCGGCAGAAGTATGGTGGTGGGCAGGAAGGCAGAGCTATCCCGAGACACGTTCCCAAATAAATTAGCAAGATCTCACTTTTCTTTGGGCCTCTCTCCCCCAGGACCTGGCTTGGGAGTTCTCTCCCTGCCATCCTGGGACCCAGGTCTCCTTGTGGGTCTGGATGGAAGACGGGGTGATGGGAGTGACTTTTGGTGAGTAGAAGCGTCTCCTTTAGGTCATTACAGAGATATTTTGTTTATTTTTATTATTAAATTTTTGTTACAGAGATGTTGAGCGGAGGATCATTTCCTCAAAGGCAGGAGTGAGGTAGAGGATACTTCCACAGACAAAGGAGATTTGAAGGAATCAGCAGGATTAGGGTGCTTACCCACCTCCATCCAAATGTGCCCCTGAGCAGACTTCAGCTCACCAAGCGAGGTGCTGGAATCCTCGTCACAGAATGGCTGCACAGCAGCCCAGAGATTTTCTCTCCAGGGAGGAGTCTGAGCAGAAGCTCAGCTCTTGTTCAGGGATGCCAGGAAGTCATCACGGGGTGTTAGACAACATGTCAGGGCTCTTGCTGGCCTGGCTGTCAGGGCGCCTGGGCTCAGTCCAGGCTCTGTTCTAACTCTGTGGTGCCTTCAGTAGGCCACTGCTCCCTCCTGGGACTGTGTCCCTCCCTCATCTCTCACAGGAGGAAGACCTGCAGCAGCGTCCTCAAACTCGTATGAAAACCACAGAACCATTTCCTCAAGTAAATGTCATATCTAAACTCAATATACATGTGGCTGGGCTACTTTTTAAATAATACTTTTGTTTTGCTTTTGGCATTTTCTTTCTTGTCTTTTTGCATCAAGGATCCAGGTTCTTAGTATGTCCTAGATACAGAGATATTTTTTCGGCTCCAGATCAGAAGCTGCGTGTCCTCACTGCTCTACCCTCATGAAGGTACCCACAGTCATGAAGAGACTGTGTTGCTGCCTGCTTTGTGCACAACAAGGTGGGAAAGGCCATGCCTGTGAGGGTTACATGATCCCAGAGTAAGTACCTCTTGTGGTGAGAGGATAGTGCTGTGTGTGTGTTTGGAGCAGAAGCTCAGAGCTGGAAGGTATGCTCAGCTCCCAGGTCGTGCCCCATATGACAGGCAAGCCCTTGGAGAGATGGCTGCTGGGAGTGTTTCCTGAGCTGAGCCCAACTCAGGGAGATCCTCATTTAGCAAAGAATTCCGTACTGTATGTGTGGGCTCCAAGCCAAAACCCTCCTCAAATCGAAAAATCTGGGTGATCTGGAAACTACGGATGCAGCAGTAACCACGGTGGCCTAAAGAGGAGAGGCCTTTCTCCAGATTTCCAGACCATGTGAACCTCCCTGATTCTGGTTTGATTCTGTGCAGGCAGGAGGTACAGTAACCACAAGGATCATGTTTCCGGCCAGTCCAGTTGGATGGGTGTTTAGAGTCTGACTCTAGTTGCCTTCAACCAAATACAGAATACAGTTTTTCCTACCATCTGAATCTGTGCAATGACATTCCTACCTCCCACTTTTGAGGCTAATGAAGGTAAGGCTGCCCTCGCTGCCCTCCTCCCTCCCTATGGGCTGCCCTGTCCTCTAGGTGAAGAGGAGGCTCCAGTGGACAGAGTGTGGTGACTTCACTCCTAGAAACTAAATGACTGCTGTCATTTCCAAATCCCACACCCTGCTGTCCTAGAGTAACACGTGCTCATGCTCACATGGACTGTGACCAGCAATAGGAACAAAACTCAAGTTCTTTATTCCTGTGGATTTCCCACGAGATCTAGGCCATGTGCACTCATGTGACAGGGAGGGAGAGTTACATGATTTGGGTGAAACTCACACTGTCAGTGTCCCTCAGGTTCAGATGACAGAGTCTGTATTAGGTCCACTGTGGATCCCCAGTGCCAGGCACTTAGGAGCTCAGTCAGGGTGTGTTTGTTTATTGATGGAAAAATGGTGCTTTCCAGTCCTACTGCAGAGAGCGTAGGGCTAACTCAAAAGGCTGAGACAGCCCTAGGTGGCCAGTGAGGGGTCTTAGCCTAGAGGCCAGCAGTGAGTAAGAGGGACAGGCTGAAATGTACTCAGGCTACTGAATGACCAAGTGGGAAATGCACCCTGAGCACTTGGGGAGTCACTGGGGTAAATGTGAGGGGTTGAGCTGGCCTTGCCAGGTGAGAGATGGGGCAGGGGTTCTGGAGAGACAGCCTGCCTGCCGTGTCCTCCACGGGTCCTGCCTGTTGCCAGCACAAGCCTGGTTCCTTGTGGCACTCTCTGCCATGTCATGAGCTGGGCTGGCATCTCAGGGGAGAGGCCCTACTGGAACCACACGGAGCTCTGAGTGTCCTAGGCAGGAGGGCTATAAGGAAGGGGCCAACTCAGATCAGGCTTGTGTGGAGGGAACAGGAGTTGGTGGACTCTGAGAACTCTCCATGGAAAGCAGGGATGGAGAAGAAGGGGCAGCCAGGAGACTGGAGGGCAAGCTGGGCCCCAAGGTCACAGGAGGACAGGGAGGAAACTCAGGCTGGGTGAGAACAAGGAGCTTCTCCAGGGACCCACCCTGACTGTGTGCCCTCTCCCTGGCTGTGGGAGAGAAATATCCTGCTCAGGAAGCCTCTCCCCTCCCCAGTGTGGGTGGCTATGCCATAGGGCTGCAGCCTCAGGCTTACCTGCTTGGTGTCCGGGACCCATGGTGTTATCCCCCTTCCTGTCTGCCATATAACACAGGGAAGGAGGTAAGAAGTTCACCCTGAGACCCAGGATCAGAGAGGTTCATGTTTTCTCCTGATGGTGCTCAGCTGCAGCCCTGGCAGAAGGGCAGGCCCAGACAAACGTGTGGGTCAGAAGGAGCTGGGGAACAGCTTTTCTTGAGGTTTGGGGGAGGTGGTGGTGGGAGGTGGAAGAGGAGGAAGCAGAAAACCGTATATTTGTGTCCTTGACCTTTTAAGGACAGAGTTAGTGCCTGTGAATGAGGGTCAATGAATAAACAAGAAAACAGCCTTTCCTGCTCAGCTCAGAGACATTTATTTAGTTACTGGTGTCATTCTGGATCAGCTCCAAAGAAGGTGAGCTGGTTCCTACAGTTAGAGGCTTTTCATGGTTTTCTTTTTTTTTTTTTTCTTTTATAGATTTCAGTTTTTCCTTTTTTTTAGCTCTCCAAAGCTGCCCGGTACATAGTTGTATATTCTTAGTTGTGGATCCTTCTAGTTGCAGCATGTGGGATGCCGCCTCTGCATGGCCTGTTGAGAAGTGCCATGTCAGCTCCCAGCATGTGAATGGGGAAATCCCTGGGCCACCGCAGTGGAGCAAACGAACTTAGCCACGCCAAAACGGGGCCGGCACCTTCATGATTTTCTTTATCCAGGGCAGAAAACTCGAGACTTTGGTATAGACCCGTGGAGGAATCCCGCCTGATCGTCCATAGGAGACAAGGCCCTGGATCACGTTCTTACACACGAAAGGTCCTCCAGAGTCCCCCTGTAGACAGAGAGTGGTGAGGATTGAGTCCGTGCTTCCCTGGGGCCTGCCCACCTGCATCCCAAGTGCCCTCTCAGTGAAGGCCGGCTGGCCTGGCCTCCATGTGGAACATCAGAGATCAGGGCAGGTCCCTGTGGGCCCCTCAGCTGCCTAGTCCTGACCCTGGACATTGTCACAGCTTCATTTCATTCAGGGGTGCTTCCCTCTCCTCCCCCAGGTCCCAGATCCTCTCCCATGAGGGCGTTGTAGGACTGTTATTCCGTCTACCCTTTAAGAACATGGAAGCAGGCAGGTGAGGCTGACACTCAGCATGGAGGGTGAGCCATTTAACCAAGATGGGAGCCAGCTCTGAGGAGCCACCTGGTTTGACTGCTGTACACCCAGGGAGCAGTTTTCTAACACCTGTGCCCGTCGTGGGGCAGAGTGTTGCAAATTCATGATGTGGATGGAGCACCATATTTAGATGCATCTCAGGCCCCTGGTAGGCTCCCAGAAGACTTGTGAATCCCCACTCTGGCTGCTCCCCCTTCTCTTCCCAGGAGAAAGATCAGAGTCTAGGGTGTGGAGGAGGCCCCACTCCTTGGGTTTGAAAGTCCCAAAACACCACTCTCCCCAGAGCCAAGCTAGGTAGGTGCCCAGTCTCACCTTATAGGAAGACTTCTCTTCCTTCGGGTCTCCCACGCAAAGCTGAGTGGTACTGTTGTAATTGCATAAGTAGGATTTGCACACCTGGTCCTGCTGCACTGTCAACTCCACCTCCTGCAGAGTGTCAGACCCTCTGCCATTTGGAGTGACTCTCCCCCAGCCTGCCACACTGCACACCTCTCCAGGCCTCACCTGGGCTGTTCCCCAGGGCAGGCTGATGGGCTGCACAGCTGTAGTCAGCTCGGCCTTTCTCTCCAGCTGATGACAGAGGCAAGAAAGTCCTTCTCAGCCACTGGCCTCCTGGGCCTGGACACCGCGATGCGTCTGCACTGACTTCCCTCTCCCCTGAGCCACTGGGACTAGTCAGGTGGCCAGGATGGGAAGGAGGGAAGGGACAGGTCCCAGTGGGAGGGGAAGCAATCTGGACCCAGGACAGCAAGAGCAGCAGGGAGGTTCCCTTACCTTTAGTATCATGATGTCATTGGCGATCTTCTTAGAATTATAATGTGGGTGGGGGATGGCTTCCTTCACAGGGATGACCTGCTGGGTCTTCTCCTGTTTCTTAATGTTGTGGGCACCCAGGGTCACCTTGATTGAGCTATGCAGAAAGCAGGGTGGGGATATGGGGGGCGTGAAGTCTATGGAGATCCAGCCCAGGAGCCATGAAGGGCTGCTGACAGCTGGGCCAGGGCAGGGCTGCAGCAAGGAGAAATCAAAACAATGGGAGCACTGGGCAGTGGGTGACTCTGAGAGGGGATTCTGGGAGCTTTCTCAGCCCTCAGGCAATATTGTGAAAGGACTCTGAGTTTGCCTTTTGACCCTAGTGCATGGTTCCATCCTCCACAGCTGCTTCATTTGACCAGTGTGGTCTCTCTTCTCAACTGGGCCAGTACCTCTCACCTCTGACCCTTTGACCCCAAAGCTTGCCTGTCCTATTCTCACTTTCCATAACCCAGGCATGCCCTCAGATGGCTCCTCTGATGACCTCTCATGCCCTTGAGCTCCCAGGAGCCAGGGGAGCTACCCCAGGCTGCAGGCCCTCGGCAGAGGACAGGGGTCCCTTTTGGGGTCTCAGGAGGTGTCAGCTGTCTACGGTCCCTCACCTTCCCCAGCAGTGAGCAGCGGTCAGAACAATGTCCTGTCGCACGAGGACACCGCCGCAGTTCTTCCTTTTTTCTTTAATCAGATAACGAACAAATGCCATGTAGGGGCGAGAGTGGGGCTTGACCTCATGTCCCCCGATGATCTCCCCTGAAGGAAAAGTCTTATCTACTTGTGCGCTCCCACGGAGTTCACAAGGCATGCATCACCTTGAAGGCTCAGGACTGCTGGGCATCTGGGAGCCTGAGATGGCGTGGAGTTGAGAGGGGCTGGGGTGGGGCTTTCCCTCTAGGAAAAGGAAGAGGAGCAGGCTTGGCCTGTGAATGTGTCCTCCACAGATAATTGGAGGTGAGCATCCAATTACGCATCCTAGGGACAGCAAAGTCCTAGAGTCTCCTGAGAATTCTTCTCCTGACTTTGCTTTGTTTCAAGAACCTGTATAAGGCACTGTTGTCCTGTGATGTCTGGGATGATGATGCTTTCCAGTGGCCAGGTCTTAGGTTTAGGGATCTAGATGTTGTCGTAGCCTGTTTCCCATGGCCTGACACATAGTGGGTGCCCAAAAGCTGTTTGTTGGCTGCATGAAGGAATGGCCCCCAAGGGCCTGAAGGAGAGTTTGTAGGGCCAGCGCTTGTGGGATTCAGAAAAGAAGAGAAGTTCAGGTCTGCAAACAACTGCTCCATCCTGGCAAGAAGGGAGCTGTTAAAGGCCTGGGAAGAAAAGCAGAGCTGGAGAAGGGACTGAGGGGCCTTGGGACTGAGCAAGGCACCAGCAGTCCTCTGGGGTCAGTGGTCCCACCAACTCC